GGCAAAGAGACACCCATGGGCTACTTTGGGAAAAGTTTGAAGGACTGGGAGAAGGTCAGGGCCCTCCCTTGGAAGCACTGGGAAGCTGGCTTTCTGGCATCAAGTTCTGGAGGCTGGTTGCTGCCTGCTGGCTGGGCAGTGACTATGCCAGAGCTACAGGCACTAGGAGTAGGTCTTCGTGCAGGGGAGGGACATGAATAGGGTGGCATCAGAGGGGAAGTTGTGAATTAAGACGGGGACAGTGGAAATAATTTCGGGCATGAAACCATTGCAAACCTAGTCTTGAATCTAGTGGGACCTAACTACTTAACTTGGAGCAAGTTCAAAATGAAAATGCAGGCTCCTTGTTTAAAAAAATAAAATAATACAAACAGGAATTTTAAGAGTGCAAAGCATTAAATCCAGTTTATATCCTTCCAAGCAAAGGATCTTCATGAGGTTGAAAGTCATTTCTGCTCACTAGACAAGGGGGATTCCACCCAGCCAGCCAGCCAGCCATGCAACTGACCATCCATCCACCCATCTGTCCACTCATCCATCTTTCTGCCATCTACACATCCTTCAACCAATCTATTTCTATATATATTTATCTATTCATTACTGCACGATCAATTCAGTAGGTAGGTTGGAAGCTGACAAGAATGCAAACACAGAGGGCCATCCCACAGTCCACAGGGTCAAAGTTCAGCCTTCACCTTCAAGACTTTCTCTGAGTTGGCAGGGGACAGGCCTTCTGGGGCATGTTGGTAAAGCTGAGTCCTCACCCCTATAGCCACGGAGGCTCAGCCGCAGCCTCAGCAACAGAGCCACAGGTGGGCTCTCAGCTCTTGGGTTCTGCTTCCCAAGACCCAAAGGTAACAGGGCAGCTATAGGGGGAGTGGGGAGGACCACAGTCACGAAAAGCCTGGCAGGGTTGCCATGGGGCTAAGGGCAGAGCCAGCAGAACCTCCTGTGTCTGAAATTCTCCTTGGTCCCTCCATTCTCCACTTCCTGTCAGAGCCAGACTAGAGAAGTGGACTGCACCAAGATGCCCTGGTCCATGAAGCTACCCAGGGTTCCCCATCACTGGGAAGAGTGCCCTTCTCTTCAACCCAAACCCTGTACCCTGTTTTCACTCCAGAGAGACATGGCGGCTGAACCTTGGACATCAGAGCTGGTGAAGACCCAGTGCACGTGACAGCACAAAGGAAAGTCGGGTTCAGACTCAGTAACACCCCTGATAATCTGCACCACTTCTCCTCTCTGGGCTCCCTTGTGCCCCCACACAGTAAGCAAGTTAAACCATGTGACCCCAAAAGCCTTTTACACCTCTGATATTCAGGGACTGCCACCCCCATCCTCCTGAGACACAGCCCTGTCCATCACTGGGTGGGGAAGCGGGGGAACTTGGGCAGACGAAAGATTTCCAGCACCCTCTAAGACATCAAATAGACCAGATCTGAAGCCAGGCAGAGAGGACATTAACACAGCTTGAGCGGCATGCTTTGATTTCCAATCTCCTCCATAGGCAGGCTGGGGGTGGGGTACCCCGGAAAGCAGCGGGGGGATGCTCTGAATCTGAGGCTTGCAACAGCAACTGTAGCAAGCGGGTGAATTCCACACTCATGGCTCTGCACCACCCCTCCTCTCTAGACCCCATCATTCCATGACACTAACCTCACTTCCCGCCTCCAAATCAAAGTCCACGAGGCTCAGTAACCATTTTGAAAGGGAACTATGGGTCTGCAGCCCCAGCAGGCCCACCTCCCCATGCATACTTGCTCAGGAGCCCAGGAAAGTGGGTGAGTGGGCTCACCAGAAACACACCGTCCGAACCCCTGAGAGATACTGAGTGTGCTGGGGGTTGCTCTAACTGTCTCAAAGTTTCTCCTTGTGACGGCAGGTTCAAGCTTTCCATTAGTGGTCATCGATCCTGACCTCTTTCAATAATAGCAGAAAAGGTACAAAACCCCCTCGCATTGGGATGTTAAATATGCATGATCCCTGAGCACACAGCAGGGCTGGTGCAGCTGCCGGTGTAGACTGGAGGCACTTGGAATCCCAGAATTGTGTTCAGGCTGTCAGGGAGTTCAGGGTTATCTGTGTTAACCCTGTTGGACAGATGGGAAAAGTGGGACCCAGACAGGGGGTGGCTTGTACACAGTCACACAGGGTGGCGGTCCACTAGTCACCATTACAGAGCTGAGGCTGGGTGTCCAGGGCTGACCTGAGCCCCAACCAACCTTTCATGATGGAGCTCTGGAGTCAGAAGCACCCACGTGCCAATCCTGGCTCTGTCACCTGCCAGCTGTGGGACTTTGGGCAACATCTGTAACCTCTCTGGAAACTTCCTCCTCTGTAGAATGGGGAAAGTCTACATCTCATCCTTGAGGTGGTAGTAATAATGTAATCAACCCAGCAACTATTTAGTCAGACTTTACCTTTGCTCACATGCCAGGCACGTCCTACACACTGAGGAACACAGCAGTGAACTGTAAGTACTGGATATAAAACTCAATTCAAGCACAGATCCCAGGTACCTATGGAGGGCTGGCTCTTGATGCAAGATCCCTTTCCTGAACCTGCTCCCCAGCAACCTCAGGTTCTGGGCAGGTACCCAGCATCCCTCCCCTACACTCTCCCCAGTCTGGGACAGCTATGAGCAAAGTCCCATCCCAAGGACCCACCACCCACCGAGAAGCAGGAGTACACTTCAGGGGTATCCAGGGACACTCTCCACCACATCCTGCAGCCTTTCCCCAACAAAACACCCAGGGTTCCCTCCTGGAGCCTCAGAGAGCCTGACTGTGGGTCTTGGAAACGCTTGCAGCAACTGAATTCCACCCATAGGAGTGTAGGAGTGGAAGGCCAGGTTCATGGCCAACTGGTCCTGCACAGCAGACACAGAGGACAAGCCCTTTCCTGGCCAGGGGTATCAGGCCTGCTCCCTGAAACACAGTGCCCTGGACCATTTCATGGACCCCACAGTCTTCCCAGTGAGGAAACTGAGGCCCAGAGAGAAAAAAACCTGGCCCAGAATCACACTGTCGGGCGCTCAATGGAGGGAGGGGCTGGCTGCTAACTGGTCAACTGATGCCCAAGCCTTGCTTTGCTTGTCCATGGTGCCCACTGCTTCCCTCCCGGTTGTAGAAGCATCCTGGGGAGGAGACACAGGGTCTGAGGTTGGATCCACATGGATTTCTAGGAGCGAGGGCCAGCACTCTATCTGTGGACTGAGTGCCCAGTGCTTTCCACATCTGGCAGCAATGACAGGTCCCAGCTCTTCTTCCTCCAGGGCAGAAAAGACTGCCCAGGAACCACTGCCTACAAGCAGGAGAGCAGGGTGCAGGCCAGAGGGGCTCCTTGCTCTCTCCAGACCAAGCCAGAGCCTGGCAGACCTTGGCACATTCACATGGGGGGATGGTGGGGGTGGTGCACTCCTTGCTGGGGAGGGTGTTGGGCAGGCAGCTATGGACTCTCCTCCCTGACCAGGAATGCTCTGGCAGTGTGATGGGTAAGTCTTTAGATTCAGATCTGTAAGATGGGGTGACGACCGGGATTTCAAAGTCTCTCTGTGAGGAGGCAGAGTGTGCCTGCCTGGGTAGGCACTCAGGGAAGGTGGGACCCACATTGTGACATGTCCCTTGGGTGGATTCTGGGATGTAGGAAGACTGAATGGCTTCAGAACATATTGCATGCTCTGGGGTAGCTGGGAAGAGGGGGCTGGGTCACAGAGGCACTCCTTCCTGCATTCTACCTCATTTCTGCCCTCCACTCAGGGCTGGCCCAGGGTGGGCAGAGCACAAGACCAGGAAGCCTGGACTGGCCAGACTCTGATGAGCAGAGGAAGGGAGCAAGCAGCACAAGCACTGGGAAGACTGGAAGGACCCAGGAGGGCTGCCTGGAAGAGATGGAATAGGGAGGATCTTTGAAAACAAAGTGATGAGGAAGGGCATTCCAGGCAGAGGAATGCGGAGGGCCAATGCCCACAAGCAGGAGGGCATGCATTCCTCCTCGGAAGGCCCCAGTTGGCTGGAGTCATGGGGCAGGGGCACCCGCAACCTTGCCAAGATCTGCCTCTCCGTTGTTGTGTGGGGGACCTGCTGTGAGCAGGGGAATAATGGTCCCTGCCTGAATCTGGCGAGCATTCCAGCAGGATCAGTCTCACAAAGCACAACCCTGGGTGGGTGCTGGAGTGATAGTCCACCAGCCTTAGCTGCTACGGGAAGCTGGGGTTCTGCAAGCCCTGGGGAGCCATGGGCAGCCATCTCAGGACAGGGAGGTGATGTGATCAACCTGAGGTTTAAGCTAAGGAGGACAAGGAGGGACACAGTGAGGGGGCCGAGCAGCCGCCTGCGCCCCAAAGAAATGGCAGGTCTTTGCAGAAGTGCCCCCAGATCAGTGAACCAGGCCCCATGCCCTCCAGCACCAGGGGTTGTGGCCAGGGCCGAGCTCACCCTCAAAATTTCCCTGTGGCCCTACTGGGGGTTTGGTAGGACCTCTTAGGAATCTGCAAAATTTGCAAATCCATTTAAATCCTGAGGTTGCCTAGTGGCAGACTGGCCCCCGGCCAGAGCGGATTCTTAGAAACAAAGCTAGGGGCAGGGGCAATAGCACTTGAGGTCCCCTTTGCCCTGCCAGGGCCACTTTCTATGCTTTCTGTATGCCAGCCCATAGCCCCTCTCTCTGTGACCCTTCCAGCTCTCCCCAGCCCTGAAGACAATACTGCACTTTGGGGGGGTCCTCAGGGGACACCCAGAAACTCTGGGGAGGGGGGAGGTGTTGGGTGAAGGAGGGAGGTAGCGGGGTTGGGTAGGGGGAGAGGCCACCCACCCCAGAACAGAAAAGAGAAAACTAGCTCCTTCAGTCCTGACATCACACACAGCCGCCCAGCCTCCTCGCATCTGGTTTTGTTAAAAATATTTCCCACTTTTTTTTTTTTTAACCTACCCAAAGAGGCACAAGCTGGGACAAGAGGACAGGACACCAGGATTAAGGCTCTCACCTCTCCCAGCACTTACCTTGCTGTCAAGGGTTCTGCTGTGGGCACCGTCCCAGGCTCTGGACTGTCACCCCTTCCAGGAAGTCCTCCTCCTTGCCTGCTCCTTGGTTATCAGAAAGGCCGTTAGACCCACAATGGGTAGCACAGCAGCAGCGTGGAAGGGCACGGAGGGGGCCGTGGCAAGCTCCTGGAGACACGGGAGAGTAGAGGGGCTGGGGGGCTGCAGGGGAGGAGCCCTGGGTGAAGCCCTTACACCCCAAGCATCCTCAGGGAAGAGCAGGGCTGCCAGGAGAGGCCGCCCTGGGTCTGGCTGGCTGGCTGGCTGGCTGGCTGGGCAGGCAAGGCACGGGCTGCTGGGGCCAGGCTGGCCTCAAGGGCTTGGCGGACTCTCTCCTCCTCCCTGGCTCCAAGCAGCTCTCAGAGCTGTCCCGGGTCCCAGAGAGGGCGGGCAGGGACTGCAGGGCCTCTGGCAGCCCCAGGAGCTCACACCACTGTGGGCTTCCCTGCCCCCCGCCCACTCTCAGGGCGGCCTCTGATTGGCCTGGCTGGGGGAAGGGGGGGCAGGGAGGGTGGGCGCGTGCGTCTGTTTTCAATTTCAGGTCCCCCCCCTCCCTTTTCCCCGTTTCTTGTTTTTCTTCCTCCTTTCCCCTCTGCTTTCTCCCTCCCGTCGCCTGTTCTCTCAGGATGTGAAGGGATGTTTAGAAATTCCGCAGCCCACGCCAGCCGCTGAGTCACTTTTATTAAAGAGTGGCCGGGCCTCACTTGCCTATTGCTTGTCCCTGGTGCTAGCCACCTCTTGCCATGGGCCCCTATTCCGTGGGGAAGCACAGGGTGAAGGGGTAACCTCAACCTGGGCCTCAGTTTCCCCCTAGGCAAAGGCATTTCGACCGCCTGTCAGGCTGAGTTGGCCACCAGTCAGTTGAGCCGCTTCTATGTGCCAGATGCTGCGCTGAGCTGGGACAGGGACAGGCAGTCTCTGACCCTTTGGGGCATGGGGGGTGGTGCGCAGGGAGAGGAGAGCACAGTCAGGAGTGGGGAACATCTGACCCACTAAGGGCCCGTCAAGGCAACTGCAGGTGGGGTTGGGAAATCAGTAACTCTGGAGCGGGCTGATTTTATACGTTAATCACTTTGTATGATGTGCAAACAATATTCTAAAGAAAGGGGCCCCACTCCTGAGAAGGTCTTGGGACTGAAGCTTAAGGGAATCAGAGTACTTCCGAGGGAGGTGACGTGGGAGGGATAGAAGGACACCCCGAGACGATCAGAGGGAAGATGCAAGGCCTAGGGCTGAATTGGCTCAGAGAAGGGAAGCAATTGGACCAAAGGTCACCCAGCACACATCTTCAGATCCCCAGCCATATTCCCTGAAGGATCACAAAGCCCCGGGAATGCACGGAGAAGCTATGCCCCCATTTCACAGACAAGGGAAACTGAGGACCCGAGCAGGGAGTGAGTTTCCCTACCCAGCAGGGGCAGAGCTGGCAGGAGCTAGTCTGGTGGAATGGTGACCCAGAGGCACAGGTGAGCGGACTGAGGCCTGGGTCACACAGTGTACAGCACTGGGACCCGCACTGCAGTGTGGATGGCTCCCTGGCCCTGCCTTCTTCCCTGTCACCTGCGGCACCGTCACTCAGTCGCTCAGCAGGGATTTTCCAGCGTCTCCCCCGGGGTCAGCCAAGGCCCTAGGTGCCTGGCGGCTGCTCCTACTCAGTTCACTCACCTGCAGCTCTCTGATGCCAACAAAGCATTGCCTAACATAAGGGGGCATAGAGAGGGGAGCCGAGCCCCCACTTCCATGGCGGTATACCTGGGTAAGCTGTGGCCCAGTCACACAGTGTACAGCCTGGCCCACTCCTCCCTAGTCCCTCCCAGCCCCTGTCTGCACAGCATGGGCATTCGCTCAGGCTGAAGTTCCATCCAAGCATGCTCGTGTATCTTGTGGTCACCTGTAGATTTCATCTCCATCAGGACTGTCCAACATGGGAGAAGTGACAAAGTGCCCCACGGCAGAAGGCCTGGCCCTGGACAGGTTGGCAGCAGGAGCTGTGGAGGGAACAGCAAAACAGCACAGCCTGCAGGCCTTCTGCTGGGACCCCCAACTCCCTTAGCCACCCACAACTCTTCTTTAGCACTGCTGCCATTTGCATTCCTGGTCTTGGCTCAGAGACTGCAATCAGGAGAGCTTAGGGGGAGAAGCTGTCCTTGGAGTCAGGAGGCCTCACCTGTGCAGGGCCTTTGCCCTTCACAAGCCTCAGTTTCCCTCACCTGTTATGTAATGGGGGGGCTCCCCAGGCTGGAAGACCCTTGGGATACTCTGTCTACCAGGCCCCTGGACTCCAGTGAAGGAGACAAGACTAGTGCGTCCAGGACAGAGGTACTTCTTGGGGCCAGAGAGGCAGCACAGAGGGATGGGGGCAGTCGGTGGTGGCTCCCTGGGGAAGCTGGCAGCCGCCTGGTTTCCGGCTAGCCCAGCCGGCTGGCCGACTGGCCCATCTGGAAGCACTTAGCCCCTAGCACCGTTAACCCTTGGTGGGCACCAGGATGTTGCTCCTCTCCACGGAGACAGGGCTGGAAGGTGCAGAGCCATGTGGAGCACTGTGAGCGCCATTGTTTGGGTCTGGCTAACCCAGAAAACACTGATCCTGCAGAGCACTCAGCTCTGGGGCCACAGACAACACTTGAGTTCAAACCCTGGCTTCTCCAGTTTCAGAGCGTGTGTGTCTGAGCAAGTCACTGCAACACTTGAGCCTGGGTCTGCCCACTGGACAATGGAAACTCAGCCAGGACTGATCGCTAAAATGCACTGGGGGAGAGGGACATTAAGGTGGTAATTCTCCCTCTTTCCAGCAGCAATCCATCTTTGTGTACCTTGGCCTGGACACTCCCTGCTCAGGGCCTCAGCCTGCCCAGTGGCCAGTACACACAGGAAGGCAGCACTGGCACAGACACGGGGAGCCTAGGCCAGCTTCACACAGCTCTGATGTGCCACCTGCATGCTCTGTGCAGAGACAGAGAGGGGCTCTAGGTCTGGGAAGGGGTCTAGCACATCCCCTTCCTGCAGCATGGAGGCCTGCCCAAGGGGCTCTGATACCAGCAATTCCAGCCAAGCTCTAGCCAGCCCCAGCTAGGGGAGCCTGAGCAATTACATTATCTGGGCCCCCCAACACTCAGTGCTTCCGGCTAAAAGAGCACATGTGCCTGCCTCCCAGGGCTACAGAGAGGGTGTATGTTCACAGGCACTTTGTGTACTTTCCAGAACACAACAGAACTCCACAAAAAAGTGGTGGCAGGATCCCAGGTGTTCTGGAGCTCAGGCTAGCGGGGAGCTCCCATCAACAGCAATAGGTACAAAGCCCGTGACAACCAGGAACTGCACTGAAGCTTTTGCTGGCGCACTGGGGTGCACACTCTTCCTCAAAGGGGACAGATCCCCCCTGTCCAGTCCCCCACCCACGCCTCAGAGTCGGAAGCAGCAGGGGGATGGGGCGGGGGGGGGCGCTAGAGGCCAGGAAGGGATCTGGAGTGGGAGAATCCCCAGGAGGCCTGCTCAGCATTCATTCCAGCAGCCACCACATCTGGCTCTCCCACGCCCCCAGTCTGGTCCCGCGCAAGCCCCCAGTGCGGGGGAGGGGGAGGAAGTAGCATACACGTCACAGGCGGAGGCAAGAGAGGGGTCGTCGGGACACTTCCATGGCCCAGGTGTGGAGACAGAGGTCCCAAGAGAGGAGGGGACTTGCCTGAGGTCCCCCAGTGCACACCATGGACAGGGCAGGTAGGTTCCCATGCACCGGGCCAGGATGCCAGTAAGGCACAGGTTGGGCAACTCTGCCCCACCTCCTGGATACCTGGCACAGCAGCCATCTGAGCACATTTCCCACCTCGGTGCCCGTGACTCCTCTTTTTGGACTAGTCCCTGGCTACCAAGGCCTGCCAGGGTCCCCAGACACAAGGGCTTCAAGATGCTGCCTGCTCAGCCTCTCCCCCAACTTCGTGTAAGCTCCCCATCTCAGAGCTGCAGGAGCCACAGGGAGCTCCGGTGTATGCCTGGAGTACTTGCAGAGAGGGCTCCTACCCCCAGAGCAGCGTCATGGGGGCTACGCCACTGACTCTCTGTGGTCAGAAGCTTCTAAAAGCCAGGACCTTCTTGTGGGTATTCAGCAGGTCTGGGGATGGGATGTTCTCGCCTCAGTTCCCAGGCCTTCCTGTTCCTGTGACCACCCTCCCAGGCAACTGAGCACCAAACATTGGCAGCACAATGGAGAGTACCGTCATGGCCACAGATTCCACTTAGTGCACGAAGAGGCTGAAGAGCAGCAGAGGGATGAGCCCAGGCCATGGCATGGGACTCAGGGTTTGTTGTGTGAACAGCGAGACAATAATGGCTGGGGCAAGGGAGGGTTGAAGCTGGAGCAGCAGTCAGGACCCAGGGATTATGGCTTTTCCCACGAGGGCCGGTAGGGGCCACTGCAGGATTTTAAACAGGGCACTGCAAGCACGGGGCCACCATGGTGCACTGTGGAGAGTGGGCTGGCATGGGCAGGTGTCACAGTGGGCTCTGCCTGTTAGGACGACTGCAGGGGTGTACCCCACAGGGACTCAGGACTTTTGGGCCCCAGTCTGTGAGTGACCCTAGCCTCCTGTGTCCTCTGCACCATGGGGCAGACACTGTGCCCGTGTGCCTGCTCCCGTGGGCTGTTTCTCCAGAACCCCTAGCCTTCTTGTAATAGCCTGGAGTGCCAGCAGGTGGCACTCCATCCCCCAGAGGTAAGGTGCTGGGAAGAGAGGAGAGGGCGACTGGGCCAGGTGCCCCGGTGAACCTCATGTTGGGCCACCACCACCACCCCCGCCAAGGTGGGCAAGGCAGATTCAGAGAAGAGAGTTGCTCGAGGTCACAGAGTGAGCTCCAGGCTGGGCTGGGCCTGGCCTTACGCCATTGCCTTTATGCTGATGATCCAGAGCCAAGTGCTTCCAGAGGCTGGAGCTGGGGGCCCAGGGAGCCTGACGCCAGTCCTGGGGCCTCCTGCTTCTCTGAAGCAGCAAAGCTTTTCTAACAGAAGTCTGGGCCCAGGGCTTTCCCTCTTGCAGGGCCATAAACC